GTTTCTATCGGCCACATACACTGAGGAGCCCTGCAGGCAATGCCATGGTCCATCCAGAGCCATTCTCTGCTCCCCTTCCCCCTCCGCCCTTCCTCACCCGTCCCCACTCCCCGCTTTTCTCCCCTCTTCAATTTTCTCGTCTCTCCCATTCTCTCTCTCTCTCTCTCTCTCTCTCTCTCTCTCTCTCTCTCTCTCTCTCTCTCTCTCTCTCTCTCTCTCTCTCTCTCTCTCTCTCTCTCTCTCTCTCTCTCTACAATCATAGTTGCCACCGTACTCATATTTCCTTGCTGATTACTGCACCCAAGCACCTCTCGCTAGCAGACCTGAAAGGCCCAATTCAACGCCTCTTGCTCTCCCTCCGCCCATGTCTCTCCCATCCAAGGTGCTCCAAGGGACTTCAACAATTTCTTGGAACAAATAGCTGGGCTCCCGACAGAGCCAATCCTAACCTGGCACTTGGATTCCACACACGCTTCATTCTTGCGGGCGAGATATATTGTCTGCAGAAAGTTCATGTATGTATGTTCCAGTGACGAGACGACTAGTAGCGTGGCTGCTATTCTGCTAGATGGGGCTATCGTGCAGTGGATGGTGGAGAAAAAGGTTTCATAAGAGAATGGCATGCCATTCCATGCGAAACCCAAGCTAGCAATGAATTGGCACGTTGTTGCAGCTTGACAATAGAGTGTGAGCAAGCACACTCTCATATCAGCTTGACATTAAATATATGACTCCCTTGTTCATTGGACTTGTGCCAAATTGAATTTCGCGGCGCCTGAGCATTGGCAGTGTTGCATACTTTGGGCGTGTTCTTACAGCCTCTTATCAGATTTACGTCGAACTGCACTAAAACGCATCCAACTGCAGTTGAACACAATGAAACGTATGTAACCACGTGAAGCTGATATGAGGTGTGTCTGATACGAGGTTTAGAAACACGCCCTTATGAAGAAATAGCCAAGCACTGGAAAGGCATCACATTGCTTTTGTTGAGTAATTAATGCAGCAGCTCCCCACAAATGTAGAGACGTTGAGCGTTAATAGAAATGCTGCCACACTGACCCCACACACATGCTGGACTGCTCTCTTCCATGTGCCTGCGCTGTGGCAGCAGTTGGTGAGGTCGCCACCGCCATATCCCCCTGCTAGTGTTAACGTGGAACGCCTCTGAAGGAAAACCAATTGCTTCAGCCAGGCCCGGTGGCAGCGTCAGCCAGGCCCTCTTGGCTGAGCAAGAGCAGCAACCCTGCCCGGGTCACTAGGACACACACACACATACAGGATAGCTTCATGTGTTGCCTGGCAACGACCCTGCCTGGACAATGCAAGAGCGCATGCCAACAGCATCCCGTTTACCCTTGAGCGTGCACAATATGACTGGTACCTTTGTTCCTCACTCTCATCCTTCTAGTTTCAATCTGAAATCCTTGTGCCTTCAAACTCATTCACACTCACAACGCCTCATCCCATCTCACACTCCCATCACCTCATCCCATCTCACACTCCTCAGCTCATCCCATCTCACACTCCCATGACCTCATTCCATCTCACACTCCCATGACCTCATTCCACCCCAAATTATCCATGAGCACAACCATCAAGCTGGCTGGATAAGGGGCAACGGGGGAGGTTAACAGGAGAACATGCAATGGCAAGCCGACTGGAAAAACAAAAACGGGACAATGGAAAGATGATGTAAAAAATGGCAATGAACAGGTGGCAGGAAAAATGACAAAGAGATTTGGATTGGAGATATGGTCACATCTTTCAGTATCACAACGCCACCCCCCTCCCTCCTGCTTAATTCCTCCTCCTTGCTTTCTAACCCCCCTGACGATATTGGGAGCATGGTAGTGGGATGATGATAGTGGGAACATGGCATTGGAGTGATGATAGTGGGAACACGGCAGTGGGATAACTATAGTGGGAACATGGCACGGACCGTATATCTATTGACTCCCTCACAATCTCATGGACACTCCTGCTTTCAATCTTATGGCATTCACTTTATACAGTATCCTGTTGCCATCCCAATCATTTTGGTCAATCTCTGAGAATCGGCCTAGTTGATACTTCACTCATTTCAATAACAAGTGAATATCACATCTCATTGCTTCAGATTTTCAGAGCCTTGCTGTGTTCAACTTGATATTTCAAAAACCATTTTTGTTCATTCCTGTCACTATGGTCTGGCATTGTATCGTTCTTTGATATTGCTCCATGCCCTGACCATTGAGATTCAGTATAGAGCATGGTTTTTGTACAGATTCACCATGCTTGTTTGAAATTCCGATCAGACAGTCCTATCAGAACATGAAACATGGGCAGCCTACCTCAAGACTGTCAGATTTCACCGTCATTCCTTCATCCATGCTCTCCATTCACCCCCATCCATACCAGAGCATGAAAAGACGATGCATATATTGATATTGATAGACTAGACATGGTTACTAAGTCTAAAGTGGCACCTGTTAATTCCTTTCTCTCCATCCACCATTCATTTCCATCTTTCCCACAACATCCTGCCAGGCAGGACGGAAAAAAGGGGGTGAACCCCTACCACCATCATTCCACATCACCCCCACCAGCTTTGCCTTACTTGCCATTGTGCCACTTATTCAAGGCTATGCTTGACCAAGCTCTACTCACCCACCTCCTCATCCGCCTCGCCCCTCTAACTTTCACATTTGTTGCCTTATCAGCTGTTGTCCCTTCCGCTTTTACCTTTGCTGCATCATCCTTTTCAGAACTTAGAATTTGCCTTGACTTTTTGTCACAGTTCTTGACAGCAGCTGCAGCAGCAGCAGGGTCAACAGGGACAACAGCAGCTGAAGCCTTTCTCAAGTGGGAGAGTCCAACCTTTTTTTCTGAGGTTTGGCATTTGTTGGAATTTTTTTTTACTGGACCATTTGTGCTGGCTTTAGCAGCAGCAGTTTGCACAGAATCGCAGCTCGTGGTGTTTGCACCGCTGGAGCTGAAGGTGCAAACCATCACGCTCCTGCTGCTCTTGTTAGCATCATTCTTACTGGCAGCAGTTTTTTCAACCATAATCCAAGGCGATTTCTTGCCTGTGCAAGCGAGAAACTCGTCCTTTGACAGGAAGGACACGTTTCTTTCACTGCTGCAGATGATTTCAGAGTTAAGATACTGTTGACGGAATTCCAGCAGATCCAACTCGCTCATATACGAGAATTCGTCTTCAGAATCCTCTGAAATTCGTGCCTTTTTCGCACTCGGAGCAGCAGCAGCACGCGAGGGTCGCTTGCGTGCTGCATCGCTCCAGCTGGGAGAGGCGGAAGCGGAGGCAGCAGGGACGGACCCGTGGTCCTCTTCCCAGTAGAAGAGGTCGTCGGGGTCAGCCTTGCTGCAGGCAGCGAGGGTTTTCACGGCCATCAGCAGTCAAATTTCAAGAGAACCTCGAGGCTTGAGGAGAGGGTTGCAAAGGGCTGTGAGTATACAACGATGTGATTCAACTGAAATGAAGTGAGTTTCAGACTGTGTTTTGTACTTGTGGCTACGAAAGCAGCCCGACCTGACAGGTTGTGTAACGCATCGACCTACTTCTAACCTAACTCCCAAGCTAACTAACACTCGAGGCATTCATCGAGATTGCTCTCGATAGAAATTGTGCTACGAGTGAAGTAAAGGTTGGATTGGGAAAGAAGGGTTGGGTTGGAAGGAAAAGGTTGGATTGGAAATTCCAAACCTCAACCAAGAGGATTGGAATATTCCAACCCATCAAAGTGGAAATCCAAAGGTTGGATTTCCAACCAATCAGAAACTGCCACTTGAATGTTACAACCTACTCTATCTTAAAAACAACCATACAAATGGTTCTAGGTTGGGTTTTCCCAACCCAACTATTTGCCACATAGGCTCCAAGCCTAGGGACCATCCCACCATGGAAACCATGGTTGGGAAAGTCCACCAAGGGGTGTATTGAGGGGGTTTGAGCTAACCAAGCTCATTCTCAACCTCCCACTCCAACTAAACAATTGGAAATGGGATTGTTTCTCTAAGTCTTGGTTGGTTCTCTCACAAGCCTTCCTACACAATTCTCTCAAGCTATTTCAACAACTCCTTCAAGAAGATTGACACCTCCAAGGCTCTTGGGAGCTAGTTAGAGCTTCATCTTGTATTGGATCTAATATAAAAGTCTTGTAACTCCATTATAATAGCCTTGGGTGTTACAGGTTGCTGCTCAACGGTTCGTTTACAAACGAGCCGCTCTAGTTGACGGCGGAAATGGGGGTTCCGTTGGCAACGGGAATTCCAGGTACGGTACCGTAGCTAGGGTACCGCTTTGGTGCTGTCCGTTTGCCACGGCGTTGTCAATTTGGCAGATCCAGTGGCATCTGAAGCGAACAAGTTACCTTCCAAAGTTCCCGCAAGGGTCTACAGTTGATGACGTGGCAATTGACATCGTGAGAGTTCTAGGCCTCCGAAGCATGAGGATTTGCGGTTCCACGTCATAGGTTACGCGAGTCTGACTCGGGCTAGAGCTGACTGGGGAAAATGACATTGCACGCCTCGGGTTGATGACGAAATCACTGACGCGACCTAAGCTAATCGATCCCGAACCTGATGTAAGCACTGCGACGCACTGCGGCTAAGCGGACACAGCAGGAGCGTTGAGGGTTTGCTTGCTTGCTTCGTGTGAGGGCCTTGGGGATTGGTGGCGGGACGGAAGCGGTCTAGCGTTGCTGTGAGCCGAGGCAAGGTCGAGGGTGTGTTAGGTCTTGGATGCTAGGGCTCTCTGGCGAATGTGTAAATGCTGATTCGTGGCGAGCGAGGCCACCTACATTCTTGGGAAGATCGAGACTCGGGGATACAAGAATGTGATGAGGTTGGAATCGGTTTGGAGGATTCATTACAGTTATACCTTACAATGGCTAATGTTATAAAACATTGAGATGCTTATAGACACATCCTCGTGGTACCCTCAGATCCACTTGGTGTGAGAGAAGCTGACTTTCACAGTTGATCACTATGGACCTGCTTCAACAGCCAATTGGAATACCCTGTGAACTATGGAGTGGAGAGAGCAGAATTGATTCCATTGCACTATTGAGCCAGATACATGAGAGCAAACGAGAGTGCAGAGCATTCTGATACAATCGCACCCTCTCCTTCACCCTCCATCGCCTCTGCACAGTCAGCACACAGCACACCCAGCACACGCCTTGCTGACATCTACACGAAGGTGTTGGGGCGGGAGGCCTTGTAGGTGGTCTTGAGGGAGCGCGAGGAGGCACGCACGTAGCGGTTGGGCAGGGGGAAGCGGATCTTGTCGCCGATGAACTGCAGCGTGTTGACTCGCTTCACCTTGTCATCCGGCACCTCCGCTGTCTTGATGATCTGTTGAGAGAGAAGGGGGGGGGAAGAGGTGGGGGGAAGAGGGAGGGGCAGGAGAAAACATGTGAGTGGAAAGGAGCGGAGAGTTGAAAGGTCTCAAGGAGCGGATGTACTGGAACAAGAAAGCTCTATCCATGGATGCAACAGCAAAACACCACATTCCATTTTACCCGATCATGGCATCCTACCCCACCACACCACCTTGCCGTGATTCATCCGGCCAGCTACTCACAACACCCCTCCACTGGATCCCATCCCACTGCATCATCCTAACCACTCCACCGCGTTGCCACGACTCCCTGACCACAGTGGCAGTGCGTGCAGCCAGCTATTCACATTACCTCATCCACCACATCCCACCCCACTGCACCCCACCGCACCGCACCACTGCCCAAGCACGCACCTGGATGCCGTGGAAGCGCACGCGGTGGCGCGAGGCCATCTCGTCGTACATCTGCTGCACAGCGCCGTTGAGCGTGGTGTCGCGGTACTCCTTGTACATGTTGTGGTACCCCGTGCGGCTCTGGTACCGCACCCACATCCCGTAGTTCTTCACCACCGTCGGATTCTTCTCAAATATCTGACGATTTCGCAAGGGGGGAAATGAGGAAAAAGGGGAAAAAGGGGAGAAACGAAGGGGAGGAGTTGGAAAATCAGCATGATCAAGGAGTTGAACGGTGATGATTTAAAATAAGTGAAGGAGCATTCAGCCTGGAACACAAATGAAAAAAAAGGACGCCGATGAAACTGACTGGAGCGGGTATCTTTCAGACAAATGCCTCGTGTTTGTCGTCAGAGCCAGTTGGCTACGACTCGTCATCTTTTAAGTTTTTGACATCATTAAGACAGTAAAGCTCCTGGCACAATACCCCAAGACAGTACTTGGTACCATACCTGGATTGATCCAACGACTTTGAGGGTCACAAAAAAAAAGAATAAGAAAGAGAACCAGGCCGGTTATCTCTCAGACAAATGCATCGTTGTGTCGTCAGCGCCTTTTGGGGCTACGAATCGTCATCTTTAAAGTTTTTGACATCATCAAGACAGCCGTGGTGCTTGGGAACAGCATGATGTAGAAACGACCAGATGAGCTGGTCAATGGGGGTACTGAGAACAAGAAACGGGAAACTGAAACCCCGGTGCAATCAGAGTCGGTGCCTTTCAGACAAATGCCTCGTTTTTGTCGTCAGAGCCAATCGGCTACGACTCGTCATCTTAATCGTGCCGTCATCATTAAGACATCCATTCGACTCGTGCACTGTACGTCGTGAACCACAAGGAAAATACGGAAAGAACGCGGGTACGAAGTGGACTGGAACCAGTATTCCAAAACGATCAGATCCGACGTCATTCAGACAAATGCCTCGTTGTGTCGTCAGTGCCTGCAGGCTACGACTCGTCATCTGATAAAGTTTCTGTCATCATCAAGACATCGAATCTCGTGTACCTTACCTTGGAAGTAAACCAGAGTTAGATGAGTACGAGAGGGACGGAATCAGGAAAAAAGCTTATAGTGAAATTGGACTGGATATCTCTCAGACAAATGCCTCGTGTTTGTCGTCTCTGCTCGTGAGCTACGACTCGTCATCTTAATCGTGTCGTCATCATCAAGACATCCATTCGAACAACAGTACAGGACCCTTCGACTCGGGGGAAAACGGTGTACGTACGACACACTCGATGCACACATGGGTAAGAGATCGATAAAGCTGGAGCGACTGGCTTTCCAGGCAAATTCCGACTGGTCACTGCCTGCAGGCTACGACTCGTCATCTGCTCATTTTCGTCATCAAGACGCCGACCTACAGTCAGTCTCCGTAAATCCGCGACGATGTACCGCTAAGGTTACGGCTCATCTCTCGTTTACCTTCTACATCGGTTGCGGATCAATGGCAAAACCTAACATCTTGCTCCGACGCTGATCGGATTTCACAATGACGCGGACAGATCGGGGGCTTAGATTGGCCGGGAGAGAATCTTTCAGACAAATGCCTCGTGTTGGTCTTCACGGCCTGACGGCTCCGACTCGTCATCTTGATTGGTTGGTCATCCCCAAGACACTCCCACTCGGTCACAACCGCCCTCTCTTCCAAGACTACGACGCCGCTGGTCCGTCTCACAGGCTGTTCCTGAAGGCCAGGGTCGCTAAACCCTATACTCTCGAATAGCTGACCGTCTCTGCTTGTATCTGTGCCGTCGACGTTCGAATGCATTCGACACTGCTGCGCATGCGCAGATGTTGTTAGATAAAGCCACACAATCGGTAATGCCTCAAAAGCCGACTCCACTCCACTCCATGCCTCCAAACCGTTGAATCTCCTCACGCTCTCGCTCGCCCTAATCGGCTCGAACTTTGTGCTGCTAACGCCTTGCTTGGCAACCAGGCCTTCAAACTAGACACTCGGGGCAACTCCTGAGGACAACGCCGCGAAACCCTAATGTGAAACACACAACCAAACCATGACCATGATCATCACCAATCACCTGGTGCAATGTTGGACCTGAAAATATATAATAAAAATAGTATCCATGGAATGACTGGACTGGACCCCTGCACTAGCGCGGTAAACCCCCCACAATCGTTGAATATACCTCGTGGATCGACAACTCACCTCGTTGATCGCTAGGACTTGACCGTGAGCCTTCTTCACTCTACGCAGCTGACTCAAGAAGTACCTGCGGAGGAGGGGGGGATGGGGAGTGGGTGGGAGAGAGGAAGGGGGGGTAAAGAACGACAAGTTTACAATGACGCCCACAACAAAATCAGGAAAAGGTTAGCCTATAAGAGTTCCGTAGAAAGGGGACGAAATGTCCCAAAGGTGCCTCAGCAGAGTTCGAGCTACAACCTACAATCTACACGCCATCGACTGTTTTCGACACGGATCAAGCCACGGTCCCACCGACGCCAGGAGCTACGCGGAACCATTTCAGCGGGTACCCGCATGGGCTGAGTCGAGAGCCGATCTGAACAAGAAACGAAGGTCTTAACTACGGCGCCGTTGCTACCGGGATCGATCCGTTGTGGAGTAGCGACCAATTGTACTGCAACACGGTAAGACACCTCCATGCTGCTCCTTTCCACTCTACGCATCCAGCCCCCATTCTCCAAAACCACGATCCAAAAGACTTTTCCGTCTCCGTTTCAATTTCCGTCTCCGTCCCCAACCTCCAATTTGCAATTCACGCTCTAGCCTACACGCAAGCGAATCAGCTCCGATTCCAGTCAGTCCTGGACCGCCGCCCCCTCCAATCCGCCAGCTGGCACCGGCTCGTCTGCGAAGAGCACCTCGACTGCACCAGTACTTCGCCCACCATCTCCGCACTGATAACATTCTCGACTGCGAGGTTATCGCGCACCAATAACCTTCTCCGCCTCCGCCTCCGTCCCCGTCTCAACACTTCGCATTGTGCCTGTCCGCGTTGTAGGCCCCAAACAAAAACTGCTCTGTCCGCGGTATAAGGCTCACCAGAACTTGCTCTTAGCGCGCACTTGGTCGATGGCCCAGAGCTTCATGCGGTAGATCTTGGGCGTGGGGTCGTTGGGGCTGGGGTTCATGCGCCCCACCACATGGTACTGGTGGAACTGCGCGCACCGGGGCAAGAGGGAATGGCGAACCGCGGGGGAGCGGAGGGGCGGAGTGGGGGAAGAGTGGGGGGGAGGGGAGAGGGGAAAGGACGGAAACGGGGGAGGGGAGCGGAAGGGGGAGGGAAAGGATGGAACAAATTGGAGCGGCGTGGCGAAGAACGGGTTGTCCTGACGAATAATGCGGCGACGTGGCGCCGGTGGAGAGACGAGCGAAGAGATTTTGGGCAGAATGGGGCGAAACGGCATCTAACGGATGGTGCGGCTCCTCCCGAAGGTTCACAACAGCGTATCGCGCAAGACGGCGCGCAACGCAAGCAGGCCGAACGCGAACGATAACGGCAGTATTCCAGGTGCCTCAGGATTTTCGAAACTGTGTGCGCTTCAGCATCCCGAGAGCAGGACAAGGGAGGAAAACCTAGGCTTCGAAAAAAAATGTTAACGGAGAGTGGGTGGTGCTAACAAGAGGCAGCTACTACCGCTGGAAGCCGAATCTGACGCGATTAGCAATCTACAACCAGCGCGACGGGAAGAGGCGACGCGTACTAAGAGGTACTATTAGGATACGCACCCGGTACTTCACCATGGTTGCAAGGGGGGTCTGTTCAACAAGGAGAGGGAGGAGAGGGAGGCGGAGAAAAGGAACGGAAGCCAGGTGAAGGGAGAAACTTGATGGGCCGTGCCGAGCATGAGTAGCGGCAGGCAAGGTGGGAGGACTGGGCAGCAGCAGGGGAGATGAAGGGAGGGCAGGTTGTGGCGGGGGGCGAGTCGAGGGGAGGCGAGGAAGAAGTGAGGTTGGGGAGGGAGGGGATGAGGCGGAATGAAGGAAGAGAGTGCGCGGGAGGAAGTGGACGAGTGGAGGGATTGGCGCTGGCGGATGCGGGGAGAATTGGAGAAATGGAGGGCGGAGCGGGGAAGAATTAGGGTTGTGGCGGGAGCTGGTGTGGAATCCAAGTTCGGTGGAAGGGGGAAAGTGTGATGACGCTTTTGGGATTCGTTCATGCCCTCCCGAGGGGGACATAAGCCGATACCTCGTTTCTGATGTGTTCAAAGCTGCATAATTTATGGTTTGAACTTCAATGTTGTAACGAATCATTCTGTTCAAACCCATTTGTCATGGAGCGTTGGTGTCAGAGCCAGGAACTAGGCGGCACGTGCTGCCCAACAACAATGAGCTCTTGGATTCTTAGAACGACAAGCACAGACGTCGATGCCTCGTGGACGCTCTCAGTCGGCGAAATCGTTTTTTACAAAGCCTCGCGGCCCGTTAGCGGCGCGTCGCACCGCCACAACGCTGAACATCCTCGCTCTTCTCTTCGTTTTGGTTCTGGTGGGATTTGTCATTTCCGCTCGACGCCGCATAATCATTCAAGAACTCCCGTTAAAATCACATACTGTTACTGCTCCGAAGTCTGTAGATTCCACATCGGTGAAATCGAGCAGCCTCCAGCCAGCCAGCGACGAGGTCAGCAGCTCTTCCTCTTTCCTCCAACCGCACTCCGCCCATTATCATCCTCTCCATCTCCGCAGCCTCTTACCCGCCGATTTTTTCGCTCCTCGCGTCCCGCCCACCGTTTATCCGCGTTCCGCCGACCCGCACTCGCCGCTCTCTGCAACCAATCCGCAAAATGACACCAGCGCAGCCAGCCACGGCGGGGGGCGAAATCGCGCGCGCAAGCACCGCCGCCGCCGTCACCGGCGCATTGGCGGAAGCAGAGGTGGACTGTGTATCGCGATCGCGTCTTCCCCGCGCCCGGACCCGCGGATGATCCGCCCGCCGTGGTTCACCGTCACGAACCTGCTCAAGGCGCTCGCCGCCAGGCGCGCGGGGGCGCGACCGCGCGGGACTAGGGAGTGGCGAGCGTTGGCGGAGAGGGGCGCGGGGTTGTTCGATCGCGCCATGCGCGTTGTAGTGTACAGCGGGGGATGCCACGTGCGGGATGTGCGGAAGATGGCGGAACAGGTGGCGGAGGGGGTGGATGAGGGAAAGGAGGAGAAGGATGGACACGGCAATGAGTCTGTGAGTGAGGTTGAGCAGAACAAAACCGCAGGGGAAGAGAAAGGCGCATCTTCATCCTCCTCCACTGCCGCCTCCTCCCCTCCCCGCTTCCACATCCCAGCCTCCTACGACCTCGCTGCTCACCGCCTCGCCCGCGCCACCAACGCCTCCCTCGCCTCCACGCGCGCGCTCGTCGCCACGCTCGCCGCCGCCGCGCGCCTTAACCCACTCGCGGACCCCCACACCGCCGCCATCCGCGCCACCACGGCAACCCTCTCCCTCCCCATCGACATCCTCCCCGCACACCCCGCCCTGTGCGCGTTCCTAGACGACCCGCTGGTATTACTTAACAAAGTGCCAACGGGGGTGGTGGAGAGCGAGGGGTGGGAGCGGTGGCGGTGGCATGTGAAGCTGGCGATGGACACGATGCATGTGGTCAGGCAGTGCGTGGGCACGGGCGCGCGCATGGTGCTGCTGCTGCAGGATGACGTGGTGCCAGCCTGGCAGTGGGACGTGGGGCTGGAGAGATTCGTTGCTGTGGACCTGCCGCGATTAGTGGGGGCGCGGGAGAGAGAGGAGGAGGAGGAGAGAGAGAGGAAGAGGGACGGGGAGGGGCTGCAGGAGGGGGAGCAGGGGAGGGAGCAGGGGAGGGTGCAGGAGAAGGAGCAAGAGAGCAAGAACGGGAGGCTGGGAGGGGTTGAGAGTGGCAACGGGGGCCGTGGTGGCTGGCACTCGAGATACCCTACCTGGGACGTGCTGTCGCTGTACTACCCACAGACGTACGGGTGGAAGCTGACCCACGGGGCGGAGTACCCGGTGCCCTGCTGCGCGCAGGCGCTGCTGCTGAACGCGTCCACGGTGGACGGGCTGCTGGCGCACGTGGAGGCGGGGCTCATGAATGCGCCACTTGACCTCCTCATCCATGAGTACCTCCTCTCTGGTGCTGTCAGGGAGAACGGTGGTGGCGGTGGTAATGGTGGTGGCAGAGGTCATGGTGGTAATGGTGGTGGTGATGGTGATGGTCGTGAGGGTCGTCGTCCACGGGCGTATGTGCACATTCCGTCGCTCTTCCAGCACATTGGGGTTGTGCGGACGAATGTGCTCAAGGGGAATCAGGGCCACCGGGACAAGCGGTTCCGACCGGACTATGTGGAGCAGCCGTATAGGAGCGTGGAGGAGGTGGGGGATGAGTGGCGGAGGAAGGAGGAGAAGGAAAAGGAGGAGCGGGAGATGATCAGAAAAAGGGCTACTAGGATACGAAAGAAGAACCTTACACGGCCAACAGGTGGAAAGGTGGCTGGTGGTGAGACAATATAGGTGGTGCTATGGGGGAACTAGAGAGTGAAGGGAGTTGGTGAAAGGCTGGCATGGACGGAGGTGGATTTCTCAAGGTGGATACGCCAGCCAGTCCATGTGGAAGTTTGAAAAGCGAAACAAGCATTGTTCAACTCATATTTAAGTCAACATGGGCTCCCATTGGTTATATCCAGATTTGCTTAAGTCTCATTGGGATTTAGTTCACAAAATGGATGCAGCTGGAGTGCACAGCTTACGATACAGTATCGGAGAGCTTCTATTGGATCTTCACCCCCTGCTTCAAAGTCAAGAGTTGCAAAAGCGGGCACAACGCATGCACGAAGGTCTAGGGTTTCGCCAGCCGTCGCTTGTACGGCACTCAAGCGTCGCCCGCAACCACACGCCACATGTAACGTGTTACGTGAACCTAGATATCGCGTAGGGCAGGGAACTGGAAGGGGATGCAGCGCGAATGGCAAGTCTCTGCGAGTCAGAGAGGTACAGTAACTTCTTGTGTGCTCCGATATAGCCCACAAGTCTTGAGCTGCGCTACAGTAGGGTGCACCAGAGGAAGGGGATTAAATTCGTATTCAGTCCATCTCTCCTATCCTTGTGTGGCCGTCCGTCATCAGTATTTGATTGACCTCGTTGCGAGGAGCCAGTGTGATTGACGATTCTGCGGGACTCTCGAGTCTCGACCCACAGAATAAGGCTTAGAAATTTGACGCTTGACATACTTTTTGCCGCGTAATATAACTAGATCCTGGTTTTGCAGAGTACTACAGTGATCAAGAGGAAGAAGGCAAGCACAAATAAGCGACCGATTTTTTCGCTTGGCTCCGTTTCGCGTTTGTTGCAGGAGTATTTCCAGTTTCAGAGCCGACCGCTTCCTGCTTGTACCCACAGTATCCTCGATCGGGAATTTGTTATAAGAAGCGGCGTTTATCCCTACGTTGTTTTTTTCCCTTCGTTAGTTGATTAGAATGTCGGACAGCGAGGACGACTACTACCAGGACTCGGAGGAGGAGGAGCAGGTGGACGACTCGGACGACGACGAGGACTATGGTTTCGACGACCCCGACGTCGACGACGACGATCCCGTGCTGCGACCCAGACAGGTGCGGCTAGGGCTGCGACTCACACATGTGGGGCTAGGGCCAATCTAGGATGACGTTTGAGTCGACTCTAAAGGCACTACGTCGACGACGACGATTCCGTGCTGCGATTCGGAGAGGTGGGGATACGGCCTGGTTTATATGCGTGAATGGGCGAATTTTTCGGTGATCAGGCGCTGACGTGCTTCGTAGCGCCTCGTGGTGCTCGTTATTCGAGAAATCAGACCGTTGTGGTTGTCATTCTCGATGTTTCTAACCGTTCAGGCATCACCTTACAGAAGAAGACAAAATTGACCGACCCCTTTCTTTGCTTTTTATCATTATATGCGAATTGGACTGTGTAACACACGGAGCAGGCGCGGTACAAGATTCTATCGGAGAAGGACATTCTGCAGCGGCAGCAGGAGGCGATCGGTGACGTGGCGACGGTGCTCTCCATCCCCGCAGACGACGCCGCCATCCTGCTCCGCCACTTCAAATGGTCAGTCAGTCAGCCGCTTCAAATGGTCAGTCAGTCAGCCGCTTCAAATGGTCAGTCAGTCAGCCGCTTCAAATGGTCAGTCAGTCAGCCGCTTCAAATGGTCAGTCAGTCAGCCGCTTCAAATGGTCAGTCAGTCAGCCGCTTCAAATGGTCAGTCAGTCAGCCGCTTCAAATGGTCAGTCAGTCAGCCGCTTCAAATGGTCAGTCAGTCAGCCGCTTCAAATGGTCAGTCAGTCAGCCGCTTCAAATGGTCAGTCAGTCAGCCGCTTCAAATGGTCAGTCAGTCAGCCGCTTCAAATGGTCAGTCAGTCAGCCGCTTCAAATGGTCAGTCAGTCAGCCGCTTCAAATGGTCAGTCAGTCAGCCGCTTCAAATGGTCAGTCAGTCAGCCGCTTCAAATGGTCAGTCAGTCAGCCGCTTCAAATGGTCAGTCAGTCAGCCGCTTCAAATGGTCAGTCAGTCAGCCGCTTCAAATGGTCAGTCAGTCAGCCGCTTCAAATGGTCAGTCAGTCAGCCGCTTCAAATGGTCAGTCAGTCAGCCGCTTCAAATGGTCAGTCAGTCAGCCGCTTCAAATGGTCAGTCAGTCAGCCGCTTCAAATGGTCAGTCAGTCAGCCGCTTCAAATGGTCAGTCAGTCAGCCGCTTCAAATGGTCAGTCAGTCAGCCGCTTCAAATGGTCAGTCAGTCAGCCGCTTCAAATGGTCAGTCAGTCAGCCGCTTCAAATGGTCAGTCAGTCAGCCGCTTCAAATGGTCAGTCAGTCAGCCGCTTCAAATGGTCAGTCAGTCAGCCGCTTCAAATGGTCAGTCAGTCAGCCGCTACAAATGCTCAGTCAGTCATCCGCTTCAAATGGTCAGTCGAGTAAAGAGTCAGTCGCTTTAAATAGTCTTTCACCTGATTTGTCAGTCGCTTAAAGTCGTCAGTCTCTTGAAATGGTCAGTCACTTGAAATGGTCAGTCCCTTGAAATGGTAAGTCGCTTGAAATGGTCAGTCTCTTGAAATGATCAGTCGCTTGAGATGGTCAGTCGCTTGTCAGTCAATGCAATGATATTTGACTTCACTGAGAGGGCTTTCTGTTCTGTTGTTGTACCCTCGTGACCTCGTCGCTTGGATGCGCCTGGCAGGAGCGCGAGCCAGGTGAACGACGAGTGGTTTCAGGACGAGGACCGCGTGAGGAAGGCCGTGGGGCTGCCACGCCCGCACTCCCCCTCCTCCTCCTCTGCCTCTGACCGTCGCCCCGGCAAGGAACCCGAGGTGAGGCGCTGTCATGCTTTGAAGGACGCGGGGAAGGGGAGGGAGGGGAGGAATGGGAGGAAGGGGAGGAAGGGGAGCGCAGGTTGCCAGTGGATATTGAGGGGGAGCGGAGGCAAGGAATGAGGTTTAGCACCGCTGTGTTGAATGTGGGTTCCGTGGCATTCCGTAGGGATGTGCGAAGCACACATGGTGATGACTCATGGATGGCTGGTGGAAGGCTGGTGGATGGATAGCGGATGGATGGTGGACACATGGTGCATGCGTGGTTGGTGGATAGTGCGTGGATGGTGGGCGGATGGTGCATGCATGCCTGTATGGTGGTGAATGGTACATAGATCGCTGTTCCTATTCCCACCGCGTGGGTCATTCCTTTCTTCGCTCTCTCTCTTCCCCGTCCCTGTGCCCTTGTCGTTCCCCCACACCACACTGCCTCTTCTGGCCATCTGCTTGTTGAGTTCCTTCGATCAACCCCCTCCCTCATGTCCCCCATCTTCACCACCCGGTCTCTGCCGGTGCCATGCAGCCGCACCTGACGTGCGGCATCTGCTTCGAGAGCTACCCCCAGGCGGCCATGAAGCCCGCACAGTGCGTCGACCACTTTTGAGTCGACTCAAAAGTCACCCCTTCCCCATGTCCCCCTCCCTCCCCCCGCACACTGCTCCCTGCTCTCCCCCCCCGCCAGCCGCACCTGACGTGCGGCATCTGCTTCAAGAGCTACCCTCAGGCGGCCATGAAGCCCGCACAGTGCGTCGACCACTTTTGAGTCGACTCAAAAGTCACCCCTTCCCCATGTCCCCCTCCCTTCTCCCGCACACTGCTCCCTGCTCTCCCCCCCCTGCCAGCCGCATCTGACGTGCGGCATCTGCTTTGAGAGCTACCCCCAGGCGGCCATGAAGCCCGCCGAGTGCTTCGACCACTTCTTCTGTGACGCCTGCTGGCGAGGTACGTGGGGCTGGCGAGGTGCGTGGGGCTGGCGAGGTGGGTGGGGCTGGGGGCCCGGGAAATCATATTTGTAAACATCTCGCAACTCCTTCCTCCTGCCTATCTCTTTCCCCTTTTTTCTTCTAATTGGTCCCGATATTTTAGTTCCCCCTCTCTGCTCTGACGCTCCCTTTCTCTCTGCTACCCGTGCTCTCCCTCTCGCTGCTCGCCCCCCTTTCTATTCTCTCTGCTCCCCCACACTCCTCCCCACTCCCCCTCCCCCCCACCTTTCCCCAACCTCCCCAGGGTATGCCAAGGCAGCGGTGGCGGACAGGCCGGGGTGTCTGAGCCTGCGCTGCCCCGACCCCGCGTGTGGAGCAGAGGCTGTGGGGGAGGAGGGAAAGCTCTTTCTGATCGTTCAACCCCCTCTACTCCTCCTCACCCCCGTCCCCCCACCCCCGTCCTTAACCCCTCTCCCCAGGGTATGCCAAGGCAGCAGTGGCGGACGGGCCAGGGTGTCTGAGCCTGCGGTGCCCCGACCCTTCATGTGGTGCAGCGGTGGGGGAGAAGCTCGTGCTCGCCTCGCTGCCAGACGCCCTGCGCGCCAAGTACCTCAAGTACCTCCTGCGATCCTATGTGGACGATAACCGTAACGTGAGTGAGTGTGATGTGATGTGACTGGCTTGCACACGTGAGTGAGTGTGATGTGACTGGCTTGCACACGTGAGTGAGTGTGATGTGACTGGCTTGCACACGTGAGTGTTGCTCTCATGTGTGATGTGGTGTGGAGCTGAGTTGAACGGCTTCCACAGGCCTTGTTGTGAGGCTGAAAGGGCTGCGTGACGCCCTGCCCTGCCCCTGCGCGCCAAGTACCTCAAGTACCTGCTGCGCTCCTATGTGGACGACAACCGCAATGTGAGTATGTTGTGTTGACTGCTTGCCGTGACGTGGGGCTGTGGGGATTGACGTGTCCTCTGCAAGGAACGCACCCAACTGGCCCTGGGTGGGTGGTATTGTGGGCCTTTGAGAGTGGTGTCCAGCCCCCGGCTGTGAGTGTGCGGTGAAGTATCTACCGTATTCCAAGTTGAACCCTGGGGGTGCGTCAGTACTTCTTGTTCACTCTCCCTTCCCCGCCCCTCTCCCCCCATCCACCCGCAGGCCAAGTGGTGCCCCGCCCCCGGCTGTGAGTACGCGGCGGAGTATCTACCGGACTCAACGTTTTTTTCCTCGGGGTTGCGAGCATACCTTGTTCACGTTCTTTTTCCCTCCCTCTCCCCCCACCTGTCTTCCCACAGGCCAAGTGGTGTCCAGCGCCGGGCTGTGAGTACGCGGTCGAGTATCTACCGGACTCCACACACTACGACGTCATCTGCAAGTGCAGCTTCGCCTTCTGCTGGAATGTCAGTCTACACTTTGCCCTGCCCTGCTCTGCCCTGCCCTGCCCTACCCTGTGCCTCCTTGCAACGCAACGCCTGCATGGGCTCCTCGCAACTCTCGTTTGAACCACCCCACACCCCTTCTCTCTCCCCACCTTCTCTCTCCCGCTACTATGCCTCCGCCCATCCCTCCTCCCAACGTTTTCCCTTGGCCGTTCCATCCATCCCATAACCCCTCCAATGTTTCTGTGTGCTTTTCCCTGTGCTCAGCCAATCCCTGCGTGCTTCTCTGTCCTCCTCTTTCTCTTGCTGCACTGTGCCGTGCTGCCTCTGGCTGTATTCGAAGACACGCTTTGTCTGCCCAGTTTGACTGTGATACAGTGTGCTAGTTGGTTTTGAGATGTCTCAAAAGTGACGACACGCTCCATCCGCCCAGTTTGACTGTGAGGCGGTGTGCTAGTTGGTGGGTGGAGTGGAGTCCTCGTTGCCTCTCTCCCTCACACTCTCACTGGCTTTGTCACTCCCCGTGGGCCCCTGCCTCTCTCTCCCCGTGGGCCCCTGCCTCTCTCTCACGCACACACTCTCCATGTTCCCGCGAATGGTCTATATTCCAACTTCTCACTGCGTGCCCCTGCCTTCTCTCCTTCCATCCATCCCCCGGCAGTGTTTGGAGGAGGCGCATGGGCCAGTGGACTGTGAAATGGTGTGTTAGCGAGTTCTGGAGTCGTCATTTCCTCCCTCCCACTCTTGCACGTGTCTCTCTGTCACTCGCCACATGCTCCTGCCTTCCCTCCATTCCCCGGCAGTGTCTGGAGGAGGCGCATCGGCCAGTGGACTGTGAGACAGTGGGCAAGTGGATTCTCAAGAACAGCGCCGAATCAGAAAACATGAACTGGTGAGTCCGGTTCGGGCATCAAAGAGTTTCGCCCTCGCTTGCTGCTTGCATCCTTAACCTCTTCCCCCCGCTTCCCCCTTTCCCCTTCCTCTTGGTTCTTGTCTTTTACTCTTTCTGGGCATGACACTCCTGTATTGAGTTCTTTCGTCCCCCTCAATCAACCCGCATCATATCTACCGCTCTATGCTAAACCTGACTGTCATTTCTGTCATGTGTGTCACGTGGGTGTGTCACGTGTGTGTGTCACGTGTGTGTATCACGTGTGTGTGTCACGTGGGTGTGTCACGTGTGTGTGTCACGTGGGTGTGTCACGTGTGTGTGTCACGTGTGTGTATCACGTGTGTGTGTCACGTGGGTGTGTCACGTGTGTGTGTCACGTGTGTGTGTCACGTGGGTGTGTCACGTGTGTGTGTCACGTGTGTGTATCACGTGTGTGTGTCACGTGGGTGTGTCACGTGTGTGTGTCACGTGTGTGTGTCACGTGTGTGTGTCACGTGTGTGTGTGTCACGTGTGTGTGTCACGTGGGTGTGTCACGTGTGTGTGTCACGTGGGTGTGTCACGTGGGTGTGTCACGTGGGTGTGTCACGTGTGTGTGTCACGTGGGTGTGTCACGTGTGTGTGTCACGTGGGTGTGTCACGTGGGTGTGTCACGTGGGTGTGTCACGTGTGTGTGTCACGTGGGTGTGTCACGTGGGTGTGTCACGTGTGTGTGTCACGTGTGTGTATCACGTGTGTGTGTCACGTGGGTGTGTCACGTGTGTGTGTCACGTGTGTGTATCACGTGTGTGTGTCACGTGGGTGTGTCACGTGTGTGTGTCACGTGTGTGTGTCACGTGTGTGTGTCACGTGTGTGTGTGTCACGTGGGTGTGTCACGTGTGTGTGTCACGTGGGTGTGTCACGTGGGTGTGTCACGTGTGTGTATCACGTGTGTGTGTCACGTGGGTGTGTCACGTGTGTGTGTCACGTGTGTGTGTCACGTGTGTGTGTCACGTGTGTGTGTGTCACGTGTGTGTGTCACGTGGGTGTGTCACGTGTGTGTGTCACGTGGGTGTGTCACGTGGGTGTGTCACGTGTGTGTGTCACGTGGGTGTGTCACGTGTGTGTGTCACGTGGGTGTGTCACGTGGGTGTGTCACGTGGGTGTGTCACGTGTGTGTGTCACGTGTGTGTGTCACGTGGGTGTGTCACGTGTGTGTGTCACGTGTGTGTATCACGTGTGTGTGTCACGTGGGTGTGTCACGTGTGTGTGTCACGTGTGTGTATCACGTGTGTGTGTCACGTGGGTGTGTCACGTGTGTGTGTCACGTGTGTGTGTCACGTGTGTGTGTCACGTGTGTGTGTGTCACGTGGGTGTGTCACGTGTGTGTGTCACGTGGGTGTGTCACGTGGGTGTGTCACGTGTGTGTGTCACGTGGGTGTGTCACGTGTGTGTGTCACGTGGGTGTGTCACGTGTGTGTGTCACGTGGGTGTGTCACGTGTGTGTGTCACGTGTGTGTGTCACGTGGGTGTGTCACGTGTGTGTGTCACGTGTGTGTGTCACGTGTGTGTGTCACGTGTGTGTGTGTCACGTGTGTGTGTCACGTGGGTGTGTCACGTGTGTGTGTCACGTGGGTGTGTCACGTGGGTGTGTCACGTGTGTGTGTCACGTGGGTGTGTCACGTGTGTGTGTCACGTGGGTGTGTCACGTGGGTGTGTCACGTGGGTGTGTCACGTGTGTGTGTCACGTGTGTGTGTCACGTGGGTGTGTCACGTGTGTGTGTCACGTGTGTGTATCACGTGTGTGTGTCACGTGGGTGTGTCACGTGTGTGTGTCACGTGTGTGTGTCACGTGGGTGTGTCACGTGTGTGTGTCACGTGTGTGTATCACGTGTGTGTGTCACGTGGGTGTGTCACGTGTGTGTGTCACGTGTGTGTGTCACGTGTGTGTGTCACGTGTGTGTGTGTCACGTGTGTGTGTCACGTGGGTGTGTCACGTGTGTGTGTCACGTGGGTGTGTCACGTGGGTGTGTCACGTGTGTGTGTCACGTGGGTGTGTCACGTGTGTGTGTCACGTGGGTGTGTCACGTGGGTGTGTCACGTGGGTGTGTCACGTGTGTGTGTCACGTGTGTGTGTCACGTGGGTGTGTCACGTGTGTGTGTCACGTGTGTGTATCACGTGTGTGTGTCACGTGGGTGTGTCACGTGTGTGTGTCACGTGTGTGTATCACGTGTGTGTGTCACGTGGGTGTGTCACGTGTGTGTGTCACGTGTGTGTGTCACGTGTGTGTGTCACGTGTGTGTGTGTCACGTGGGTGTGTCACGTGTGTGTGTCACGTGGGTGTGTCACGTGGGTGTGTCACGTGTGTGTGTCACGTGGGTGTGTCACGTGTGTGTGTCACGTGGGTGTGTCACGTGTGTGTGTCACGTGGGTGTGTCACGTGTGTGTGTCACGTGTGTGTGTCACGTGGGTGTGTCACGTGTGTGTGTCACGTGTGTGTGTCACGTGTGTGTGTCACGTGTGTGTGTGTCACGTGGGTGTGTCACGTGTTTGTGTCACGTGTGTGTGTCACGTGTGTGTGTCACGTGGGTGTGTCACGTGTGTGTGTCACGTGTGTGTGTGTCACATGTGTGTGTCACGTGGGTGTGGCCTGTGTGTGTGTCACGTGGGTGTGTCACGTGGGTGTGTCACGTGTGTGTGTCACGTGGGTGTGTCACGTGTGTGTGTCACGTGTGTGTGTCACGTGTGTGTGTGTGTCACGTGTGTGTGTGTCACGTGTGTGTGTGTCACGTGGGCGTGTCACGTGTGTGTGTCACGTGGGTGTGTCGCGTGTGTGTCACGTGTGTGTGTGTGTGTGTGTCACGTGTGTGTGTCACGTGTGTGTGTGTGTGTCACGTGGGTGTGTCACATGTGTGTGTACCTACCCGTCAATCTGCACTGCCATGCCGTGCCTGGCAGGATTCTGGCGAATTCCAAGTCGTGTCCCAAGTGCAAGCGGCCCATAGAGAAGAACCAGGGCTGCATGCACATGACGTGCACGCCCCCCTGCAAATACGAGTTCTGCTGGTGTGTCCCCTCGCCCTGCTGCTTGCCTCTGCCCTGCTCGCTCTCATTCCACAGCCTGGCGTTGCATGCTTGCCTCGAGGTCATGTGATGCTCACTTGCTCCGTCGCTCAGTCCAACCAGAGGCTCTGTGGCTGGAGAGAGCGAAGCAGAGGGGCATACTGAAAGGGCTTCTGCGTCTGCTGCTCTTTGCCTTTCCAAACGCTCCTCATGCCCCTGTGCCTCCTCCGCTATTGATTTCCTCCCTGTTTTCTAACCCTGCAATGTTCCACCTGTGCTTATCACCACCGACACGCCCTCCCTGTCACCCTCCTGCTGACCGTACTATATGATCCCCCCAGGCTGTGTCTAGGGGCGTGGTCCGAGCACGGGGAGAAGACGGGCGGATTCTACGCGTGCAACCGATACGAGTCCGCCAAGCACGAGGGCGTGGTGAGCTTACTGCCCCTACTGACACACCCACGCTCCTCCCCTCCCCCACCCTACCACGGGGGTGTGGTGGGTCCACCGCCCCTGCTCACACTCTCATGCACCCCGCTCCCGCTCACCACATCACCACGCACAGCATTTCTCTCCCCCCCTGTCCCCCTGCTAGACAGTGTCAAGACTTCATATGCGCTCTCATGATCCTTCCTTCCTCGTGTGCTTGGGCCCACCATCTTTCATGCACGTGCCCTTTCATGCTCTCATCCCTCTTGTTGCACAGTCATCCTTACCCTCATTTTCACTCGTGTGCTCTTGTCATCATCCCCCTATTCGCGCTCTCATTCCCACCCTTCTGACTGCACGCCCTCCCTCCCTGGCTGTGCTGTGGGCAGTACGACGAGACGGAGAGGCGGAGGGAGATGGCGAAGAACTCGCTGGAGAAGTACACGCACTACTACGAGCGCTGGGCTGCCAACGAGCAGGTGGGGCTAGAGAGGGCGTGGGCGGTAAGCAGCAGGTGCGGAGAAGTAAAGCCATTACAATGAGCAGGTGAGAGGCAACGAGCAGATGGGCGGCAAAGAGCAGGGCGGCAAAGAGCAGTGCGGCAACGAGCAGGGCGGCAACGAGCAGGTGGGTGGCAAGAGCAGGTGGGCAGCAACGAGCAGGAGAGCTGCAACGCAACGAGCAGCTAGGTGGAAACGAGCAGCTGGGGAAAGAGAGGGCATGGGCAACTTTCTATCTGAGTGGACATATACGCTCTCTGGACTGCGAGCGTCCTGCGTATATACGCTAACGTCCGTACGCTGGACTGGACGCTGGACGCTCGACTCTTGCCCCGGAAATTTTCGGGCAGCCCGATGAAAAAAATTGGCGACGAAATTTACGTGCAAATGTAATTCGATGTGGGTCATGCTTAATGGCGCCGAAATCGAACCAGCCCTAAACAATTTGTCATTGCAATTTCAGTTGCCACCGCACATGGCGCGCGTTTCAAAGTCTCTTTGCCGCGTCGCCAAGGAGTCTCTATGACAGCTGCACTGCTGAGAGAGGCTCTTCGATCTCCATGAGGACCACTTCCGCATAGTTAAAGGTGGAGAGACTAGTAGAAGAGACTAGGCGGAGGTGGTCTTCATGGAGGTTGAAAAGCCTCTCCCAGCAGTGCACCTGCCATAGGGACTCCTTGGCGACGCGATTAAGAGCCATTGAAACACACGCCATGTGCGGATTGCATCCTCCCAAAGGAGGGCGAGAATGAAGAAGAGGAGGAGGATAATTGAGTACTTGCTGATGAGTATTAGTAGATGGGTCAGGGTGTGTGTGTGGCAGGATAAGTTGTGCGTGGGAGCTCACAAATTATTTATTTGAATCATTCCGATTGTTTTAGTATTCCAGGTTCTTTTTTAAATTGTGTGGTATTTCGCCACCTATACCCCTTTCGCCGTCTCCCCCCTCTTTTTCCCCCCTGCCTGGGAAACATTTTTTTGCCTGCCCAATCCAAGCGTACATCTAGCGTCCGGGCCTGGAAATTAAGGCGTCCAACATATATAAGCTAGCGTCTGGACGCTAGCAGACGGGACGCTGGACGCTAGCATACGGGACGCTGGACGCTAGCATACGGGACGCTGGACGCTAGGATACGGGACGCTGGACGCTAGCATACGGGACGCTGGACGCTAGCATACGGGACGCTGGACGCATCCATGTCCACTTAGCTTGCAGTGCGGTGTTGCGGTCTGGACGGCAATCACCCGTGTGCTGCACGAGCACTTTGTCAGACTTGTTGACAAAGACCAGTTTGAGGGGATTGATGGGTCATCAACCTTTGCAACCCTTGGATGAAGATACAGATTTTTTTTTTTTCCCAGCCAAGTTTGGTTGATTTCTTTTAAAACCTCCACCATATCCGTCCAAAGACATTGCGCACCGGTTAATTTCTGATTCACTACACCCGGCACCAGGTCCAACATCATCTTGGTTCTTCTCTGCTCTTGTGTGAGCAGAGCAGCACTCAAATGACTGTTTCCCACGCCACCGCAACCTTGGATGCAAGTCCACCCACAAAAGGCTATAACACATGCTTATTCTCTCTCTCTCTCTCCACACTCACCCCTCCCCCCCACTCTTTCCCGCCCCCTTGCCATGTGCTGCCCCTCCAGTCGAGAGTAAAGGCGCTTGAGTCATTGCGGGAGATGCAAACAGTCAAGGTACTTCCTCTCAGTCACTGGGTGAATGGGGCAGGCAGAGTGAATGGGGCAGGCAGAGTGAATGGGGCGGGGTGAATGTGTCTGCGTAAATGTGTGAGGGTGTGTAGGGCATTTGAGTGAAAGAGCCATGGTTCACTCACTTCACCACCTCTTTGTTTCACGTTTCTTGGCAGATTGTTTGCCTTGTAAGCTCTTTCCCTTGTGCTATTGCTCGCATGGTATGTGCCTTGCGTTCCACCGGGGTGTGCGGTGTGCTTGTGTGTGTGCTTGTGGTGTGCATGGGGATGTGCATGGGGATGTGCATGGGGATGTGCATGGGGATGTGCATGGCATGGCAGATAGAGCAACTGAGTGAGCGTCACAGCCAGCCCGTCTCACAACTCAAGTTTGTCATCGACGCATGGCTGCAGGTGATTCATCCTACCCACCCACCTCATGCATGCATGCATGCTTTGTCTTTTTCCTCAGTACTCCCTTGTCATCGCCCCCTCTCCGTCCGTCTCCTGCCCCCTTTCTGATCCCGTCTGCCTCTCTTTTGCCCGTCTGCATTTCCTTGTACGGTCAAGGAAACGTTAGAGCAGGCGACCCAACCTGGGTATAGCTATACCTGTGGTATTTGAATGCACTCCTGGGCGGTGTGCCTTTCCCTTCGCCTCACTAGACGAGGGGGTGGAGTGTCGTTGGTTGCTCAAGTGGACGTATGCCTATGGCTAGTACCTGCCAGAGGCGTAGCTGGTCATCTAAACGCTCTTCACCCGCCTGCTTCCCTCTCTCCTCCTGCGCTCGTTTGCCCCCTACCCCTCCACACCAGGTGGTGGAGTGCAGGCGGGTGCTCAAGTGGACGTATGCGTACGGCTACTACCTGCCCGAGGCGGAGGTGGCGCGGAGGCAGTTCTTTGAGTACCTGCAGGGCGAGGCAGACGCAGCGTTGGAGAATCTGCACAAGATGGCCGAGAAGGAGCTCGAGCTCTACATCTGTGACGACGGGGACCCGCCCCCAACCTCGTTCAACGACTTCCGCTCGCGGCTCGCAGGGCTCACTAGGTGAGAGAGATGGTCGCAGGGCTCACTAGGTGAGAGAGATGGTCGCAGGGCTCACTAGGTGAGAGAGGTGGGGGGAGTAAGCAGATGCTGGTTCGTGGATGTGCAAGATCCGTCTTCTGTGAGATCATCTGCACTGGATGGCGGAGCAGCAGCTCAAGCTCTTCATCTGTGACGATTGGGACCCGCCTCCTACGTCTTTCAATGACATCAGCTCAAGACTAGCAGGGCTGACGAGGTGAGTGAGAAGGGCGGGGGTAAACAGAGCAGGGGGTGGTGGATGTGAGTGTGGGAGGGAGGTGCTCTGCACAAGATGGCGGAGAAGCAGCTCAGGCTGCCCACTACCTCCTTCAATGACATGCGGTCCCGACTGGTGGGACTGGCCAGGTGTGAGTGAGTGAGGGGGTGGTAAGTGGTGTTGATGAGTGGAAATTGGTTCCGCAGAGGTGATTGGATGAGAATGGCGTGGTGAGCTGTGGAAGGTGGATGTTGAGAAGGGAAGGTGTGGGAAGAGGGGAGGGAGATGGGTTGTGGCCATCGTGCCCACCTACACCCAGCAAGATGGGTTGTGGCCATCGTGCCCACCTACACCCAGCAAGATGGGTTGTGGCCATCGTGCCCACCTACACCCAGCAAGATGGGTTGTGGCCATCGTGCCCACCTACACCCAGCAAGATGGGTTGTGGCCATCGTGCCCACCTACACCCAGCACTGCTATCATCCTCTCACTAGTTCAACACCTCTTCAACCACCCAACTATCGCCTCCCCCTTGGCCTCTCTTGCCCTCTCTTCGTCCCCTCCCCCTTTTGGTCCCCTCCCGCTCCCATCCAGTGTGATGCACACGTACATTGGGAACCTAGTGAGTGTTCTCATTCTCTCCTTCCCTCCCTCTTTCCCTCTGTCCCTCCCCCCTTCTCTCCCCAACCCCCCAGTGTGACGCACACATACTTTGAGAGGTAGTGAGGGCGCTCGAGAACGGACTGGCAGACGTGGAAAATGCTTCCATTGCCACCTCGTCATTCTAATCCCACATTCCCTCCCTCCCTCCTTCCCCTCCCCCTCTTCCCCCCATGCAGCGTCACGCACACGTACTTTGAGAACCTAGTGAGGGCACTCGAGAACGGCCTGGCAGACGTGGAGAACGCCTCTGCTGCCGCCTCCTCAACGCGTGCCGCTGCCACCCTCTCTTCCACACACACCCTCTTCCCCTCTCCCTCCCCCGCTTCCTTCCCCCCCATGCAGCGTCACGCACACATACTTTGAGAACCTAGTGAGGGCACTCGAGAACGGCCTAGCAGACGTCGAGAATGCCTCTGCAGCTGCCTCCTCCACTCGCGCCGCTGCTGCCGCAGCCGCAGCAGCAGCGGGCCGAGCCATCGCCAGCACCTCGCGCATCTCACAGTCCCGCTTCGGTGTCCGAACTCGCTCCCGCACCTCCGCCGCTTCAGCCGCCGCCGCTTCCACCTCTGCTGCTGGCTCGTCCGCTGCTGGGCCTAGTGGATCGTCTGCGGGAGCAGCAGCAGCGGGTGGTGGTGGTGGTGGTGGTGCGGGGTCGAGTCGCGGGGGTATTTTCCGGTCGTCGTCGTCTCAAGCGGCCGCTGCGGCGGCGGCAGCGGCGGTGACGGTGGGGAATACGGGAGGGAGGGAGCGGGAGGAGACGGCGTATTGGTCGTGTGAGCACTGCACGTATGCAAACCCGTTGCCGGGGCGGGCGTGCGCCATGTGCCATCTGCCACGCAGCACCCGATGAAGTGGGAATTTGAGGGTTTGGGATTGCGGTTGGCTGGGCTGGGCTGGGCTGGGCTGGGCTGTGCCAACCGTGTGTAGCATTTGAAGCCTAAATTTGATGTAATAGTGTTATCAAGATGGTGTAGCTTAGTATGCCTTGGAAGTTGTAAATTTTCTTTGTTCCGCATTTGGAAAGGCAATTACTAAGCGATTCATTGTTGTGATAATGCTTGCTAGTTTCAAGATGAAAATTGCGGCCATGTTTTGTTTGTAAGATTTGGTTTGTGGTGTGGCGTCACTGAATACAGCACACTAAACGCTATCGCGCATTGACAATATAAAGGTTTCCCGTCAGCGTGTCGACCTCCCATTTGCTGGGATGCAGCGCGAACGAGGGCCAGTCGTCGCCTCGTCAACTTTCACACAAATGCGCGGCTCGCCTGTCCTTCCCATTCATGTTCCCGTCGGTCGCGTTTGTGGTTCAGCTCGTTTGTTTATGGGTCGGTCTGCCCTGAGAACTGTTTCCCGTCTGTACTCCGTCTTGTTCCGTACACGTACAGTCGATGCTCAGCCTATCACAAAAAATTGCTAATTACAATTAGAGAATTTGTCACTCGCGAACGTTTTGCCCGTGAGTGACTAAATTGACCACTGTGCTGATTTCGGGTACAGTCACCAAGTTGCGGAAGAAAAACATCTACAGTTCGAAAACAACAACGGCTGCCTGTCATCAGAATTGCTAACCTGGTTACAAAATTAAACCCCGAGACTCGTTCGCATTCCAATTTCACTTTACAGTGACATTTTTGCCCGTGACGACAACGGCGAATTTTGCGAAGTCTTTAAAACTCGTTTCACGCACATGCCGCCCGCCTACCTGGTGTTCTTGAAATGAGCACCATTTGTACTCACAGCTGAGCCGTCATCTCCTCACGAATACCAACGACAAATGAACGTCTGGGCAGCAAAAGCCGTCGTCCCAGAAGCGACTACTTGCGGCTCCGTCAACTCCTTCCATCCCGTCAGTGTCCCTCCCTTGCTAGGAGCACTGGAATGGTCAATGCTCTCTGCTTCCTCAGCTTCGCCCCACAGCATTGGCCATTCCAGTGTAATTCTGTTGAGCATAGCTCCAGTCTAGCCGAGTGCGGGATTGGCACACAAGTCCGTTCAGCGTCTTTCCCGTTTTCTGTAACCTGACGGGAATTCAGTGTGCCGTATTCAGTGACGCTGTATTTAGTGTCCGTACAGCGCCTTTCCCGTTTTCTGTAACCTGGTTGGCGTCGCTTGCTCTTCCGATTCCCACCTCTCCCTCGCCACTGTTCGGTTAGCCTCTTCGTCGCGCCGGAACAATACTTCTGAAAGCTAGCCAGAGTGATTTAAACGTCGAATAACGCCGTCGTGTTTCTCGCGGAGCTACTTGGGTCGAATTCCAGCTTCGCCAGATGGCGTCGACCACCCTCTGCAGCCGAAGCGTTTTATTCCCTGGGACACAGAGTCCGTTCCAGCCACGACGGACTGATTCTGTTCTAGCCACCGAGTCGCTTCCGTTCACAGCGGCACGGCCCGTTTCAAACCTCTTCATGTGCGACCGTGACGGCCTGCGATGCTTGCTGGACGGCAACTCCGTATCCCTAAAAGTCGCCGCGGTCGAGAGACGGAAAGCTGTCAAAGCACGAGCAGCGGCGGCAGGAGGCGCAACGGGGTCAAGCGTGGTCCCGGAAGGAAGAAGCAGCGAGGCGACAGCAGCGATTCGTCCCGTGGTCATTCTCCCGGTATGCTGCATGCCCGCATCACATGCCCGCATCACATGCCCGCATCACATGCCCGCATCACATGCCCGCATCACATGCCCGCATCACATGCCCGCATCACATGCCCGCATCACATGCCCGCATCACATGCCCGCATCACATGCGAGAAACAAGCGCACACTCCTCCTCGTATCGGACGCGCAGTGCGGTGCGCATCCACCTGCGCGCCTCTTCGATATCGAATTTCGCGTCCTCGCGCCTATCCGCGGTATAAGCTCGAAATTCTCCGTTATAAGCTGCTTCCCCGTCCATTCGACATCCCTGTGCGTGCCACGTGGCGAGCAGGGATTGGGCAACAACTCGGCGGATTACGCGGAGCTCGTCGCGCTGCTGGAGGCGCAGGGCGTGGTGGCGGAGGTGGCACGCGTGGCGCGACCTGATTGGCTGCGGAACGCCGCGGGGCTGCTGCAGGCGGACTATTGGAAGGGAACGCTGAAGCCTCGCCCGATCCTCGACTGGTGGGCCGGCAGCGGTGGTCGGTGGTGGGTGGGTGGGGTATAGAGGGTGGGGTATAGAGGGTGGGGTGTAGAGGGTGGGGCATGGATGTTAGTAGTGCTTCAAGTCGGCCAGTCGAGTTGGCAGAGCGGATGAGAAGCACTTGTATGGGTGGTAATGGGTGGTAATGGGTGGTGATGGGTGGGTGACGGGTGTGTGGGGTATGAATCGGAAGTGCTTATGCAGAGAAGATGAGAAGCACGGTGGGGTACGATTTACAAGTGCCTATGCACACTCTCGGTCTCTCTGCTTCTGCTCCCCCTTCACCCTTCACCCTTCACCCTTCACCCTTCACCCTTCACCCTTGTCTCTCCATGCCTGTGTCTTGAGACGTCGCAAAAGAGTTTTGAGACTTGTTTTGAGACATCTCAACATTCCTTGACCCTGTGTCTCGGTCTCTCCATGCCTGTGTCCCGGTCTCTCCATGCCTGTGTCTCGGTCTCTCCATGCCTGTGTCTCGGTCTCTCCATGCCTGTGTCTCGGTCTCTCCATGCCTGTGTCTCGGTCTCTCCATGCCTGTGTCTCGGTCTCTCCATGACTGTGTCTGTCTCTGTGTTGCCGTGCCTGTGTGCGCATGACTGCCTGACTGCCTGACAGGTACTTGGAGCGGGTGGCAGCAGCAGTGGAGTTTTGAGTCGACTCAAAGCACACCTGTCTGTCCTTGCCTGTGTCTGTCTGTGTGCGCATGGCTGCCTGCCTGACAGGTACTTGGAGCGGGTGGCAGCAGCGGTGGACGCAGCCAAGAAGAGAGTCCCAGGTATGCCCGCGTTACTGAGTAACGCTCGAGATGCATGCACTCACTTGCAAGGACCTATACGCATTCCTCTACAGTCACTCATTTACAAGCACTTCCACGCAATGCACTCTAATACAACCAATCCCTGAGAGACATTGCATGGCAATGAACCCCTTTCCAAGCACATCCATTCCCCACGTTCATGCCGCACTCCATCCCACAATGCCCCCCTGTCATCATCTCTCACGCTGCTGTTGGCTTGTTTACAAGGGAGCTCTCTCAAAGTTTTTTTCACGCTTCATTCCCCCTTCCCCCCTCTGCACTTCCCCCCCAGGCGCCTCCCAGGTGTCGCTGGTGGCGCACTCAGCAGGCGGGTGGCTGGCACGTCTCTACCTCGCAGAGTACGGTCATGCTGACGTGGCACTGCTGCTCTCCCTCGGCTCGCCGCACCTGTGAGTGTGGGGGGGCAGTGCAGCGTGCCATGGCATGGCATGGCATGGCATGGCATGGCATGGCATGGGGCACAGGGGGTGGTGGATCAAACCACATGCAGGCCGTCTCTCCAGGCCATGTCGATGGTTGGTCGTAAACGGTCCTTGTTCCCTCCCATCCCACCTGCCCTCCCCACCAGACCACCGCCACCAGGGGCACAGGGGGTGGTGGATCAGACGAGGGGCCTGCTAACGCACATGCAGGCCGTCTCTCCAGGCGCCTTCCATGCTCCCCACGTCAAATACGTCTGCGTCTCGGGCAGGTGAGGCTCATTCTCTGGGGGAGGGGAGGTCCATTCTTTGGGGGAGGGGAGGTCCATTCTTTGGGGGAGGGGAGGTCCATTCTTTGGGGGAGGGGAGGTCCATTCTTTGGGGGAGGGGAGGTCAATTCTTTGGGGGAGGGGAGGTCCATTCTTTGGGGGAGGGGAGGTCCATTCTTTGGGGGAGGGGAGGTCCATTCTTTGGGGGAGGGGAGGTCCATTCTTTGGGGGAGGGGAGGTCCATTCTTTGGAAGAGGGGAGGTCCATTCTTTGGGGGAGGGGAGGTCCATTCTTTAGGGGAGGGGAGGTCCATTCTTTGGGGGAGGGGAGGTCCATTCTTTGGGGGAGGGGAGGTCCATTCTTTGGGGGAGGGGAGGTTCTCTCTATGCGTCTCATGTAAGTGATCCACCTGGCTTGCCAGGTATGGTACTGTCGCCTATGTCCATATGCCTGTGTCTCAGGCAGGTGAAGCCTTTTCCGCCAGGCAGGTGACTCTCTCTTGCCTCCACTCCACATGCTGGAAACTTCTTATTGCGCTTGGACCTGTTTTTTTTCTCTGGATTTGGAATCTGAATCATCTGTGCCAGTCTCACAGCCAGCCTTTCCTTTCCCCATCACCTCCTCCCCACATCCCCACCCACACAACCATGCAGGTACATCAAGGGTTTGCCCCTGTTCGGCAGCGCCACCACTGCCACCCCTGAATCAGCCGCAGCAGCCTCAGAACCAGCCGCTGCGGCAGGCGTGGCAGCAGCAGCAGGAGGAGAGGCGCGCGTGTTTGCCCTGGATGTGAAACCAGTGGGGGTGGGGGGCGCAGCACCACAAGCAACCGGTGGGTCAGATTCAGAGCTGGAGAGCGAGAGTGAGAGAGAGGAGAGCAGCAGTGGGGCTTCAGATGAAGACGAGGTTGGTGCTGGGAGGCAGGTGGCATCTGGGGGAGGTGTGTTCCAAGCGCGCATGGTGGGGCAGGGGTACAAGCAGGTGTGTGGGCGGGCGGACGTGTGGGGGGACGGAGTTGTGCCAGAAGATGCCGCCCTGCTGGAGGGGGCGGAGAATCTGATCTTGGATGGCGTGTATCACTCGCCTGTGGGGGCCAGTGAGGCCCGGCCGTGGTACGGGTCTCCCTCCGTGCTGCCCTCGTGGCAGCACCACCTGTTCGTTTGAGCTGGCATACCATATGTTGGCAAATTATTCCTTGAATTGGAAGGATCGATCGGCTTGAAGTCATGTTTCAAACTGATTGTGGGCGCATGGCAGACAGGATGACAAGGGTTGGATTGGAAGGGTTTGGAATGGAATGGCAGGCAGAAGACTTATGAAATGGGAAGGGACGAAGTGAATGGATGTGTGCAGTTGAGAGGTGGGAGGGACTGATTTTCCCTATCTCATTATATAACGGACAGTGATGGCAAGTGGGTTGGAGCGTCCCACCCACTTCTGCACAGCCCCGTGTATTGAAACAATAGCTACCGTGATCTCCCAGTTAGAAGACCTGGGGGTCTTCTCCTAAATGTGCTCAAAATGGACTGTGGGGTCTTCTCTGATGGCATAGAGTGCATAAGACCCCTGGACTCGGACATTTATATATCACGCAAAAATGGATCGTAACGACCACAGTTGAAGAATTTCAGTATTTTTTTGCGGATTCGAGTACGGCTCAAAACGGGGAAGCCTATAGTCACTCTTGCTTCGCGCACATCAATCCTTGCCACGCGTCAAACCTCCTGTAATGCCCAATCGTGACAGGTACGACAGCATTTCGCGTAACGGGCGGCAAAAGCTCATGATCGATGTGGCATCATGACTCCATTGACCACGAATTCGCCCCACAACTTGAATCTGGTGTTTTTACATTGTGACTCGCTAAGCAGCTCACCGTTTAAACACCACCAGTGTAGAAAAAGGGGGGGTCTTATAATGAATGAGGTCAAAAGACGGGTCCTCTACAGGACTGATATAATAAAAGACCCCTGGTCCGGATAAAGGACCCAGGGGCTTGTACGCGGGGGGGGTCTTCTTGCCGGGAGATTACGGTACATGAAAGTGGGGATTATGTAAGAAACAACTCAAGCATGACCCTTTAGAATCTAAAACTAGGTGCTTACGCTAGTTCCGTATTCAAGGTGATGATTTGTACCATGATCCTTGGGAAATCTAATCACCCTTTTTATTTTCTTGATGCACTTATGTAGAAACTAATGCACCTACATCTGGTATCTGATTATAGGCTTAGGTAAATTCACCCATATTCCGCGCATGGGCTGTTACGGTATAAACAGAGATTCTATGCCGAGGAACGGAATTTTGGACAACGACGAATCGAATTCCTCGTTAGAATTACTAGGCAGGAATGGATGAACTAGCAGCATGCAGGAGTACAAGTAGTAAACCCTAATTGTGTTGTACCCCATATGGGCTACCCCACTACAACCTACACAATATGCAGCATATATAGTTTGACACACCCCCATAGGCAAAGTGGGGGAGAGCAAGGGGTCACAAGACCAGTCAAGCAAAGCAAAGAACAAGCTCAGGGTGGATCACAATGTCACCACTCTTTGAGCACAAGCAAAGGCCACAAGGCCAGTTCACATGCAGATTTATATAGAAGAACACAAGTAGTACAGTGATCAAAGCCTAGCAAGTGCAAGCATGCAAGGACATATATATAGATCACAGTACAAGCAAAGTCAAGAAGTAAGCAAGTGAGAGAATGTGGACACAAGGCTGTCAAACATATATGCTGCATATTATCTAGCCCGTAGTGGGGTAGCCCATATGGGGTACAACCCAATTAGGGTTTACTACTTGTACTCCTGCATGCTGCTAGTTCATCCATTCCTGCTGCTAGATTCTGACATGGTATCAGAGCACTAAGGTCCGTCGGACCTTTTTTTTTTTTTTTTAGCAGCAGGAGGTACTGGTGCTGAGGGTGCTGGCGCAGGAGGTTCTGGAGCAGTTTGGGGTGCTGGTGCTGAGGGTTCTGAGTCGGCAGTTGCGCGGTCTCCTTGGAGTAGCCGCCTTCGTCCACGTGTGCCTCTCACCTCGCAGCAGCTGCACGACTGGTACGGTCGCCGTCAGGGTCGCGCTGCTGGAGCCCGGGGCTCTGCTGCTGGAGGTACTTCTGCTGACGTCCCTGGAGCTAGGAGTGGTGCTGGTACTTTGTCTACTGGAGGTGCTGGAGTCGCTAGTCCCGGAGGTGCTCGTACTAGAGGTACTGGAGCTGCTGGGGCTGGGGGTGCTGCGTCTGGAGGTGCTGCTGCTGGAGACACCGAGGCTGGAGACCCTGGGACTGGAGGTGCTGGTTCTAGGGGTGCTGCTGCTGGAGACATTGAGGCTGGAGACCTTGGGACTGGAGGTGCTGGTTCTGGGGGTGCTGCTGCTGGAGACACTGAGGTTGGAGACCCTGGGCCTGGAGGTGTCGGTTCTGGGGCTGGAGCTTCTGGAGCTGCTGGAGGTGCTGGAGCTGCTGGAGGTACTGGAGCTGCTGGAGCTGCCGGTACTGGTGCAGCTGCGCCGACACGGCTGTTCTTCGCTCCGCCGTCTCCGTCGTCTCTGCCGCCGCCTGACTCTGTTCTTCGTCAGGTTCTTACTCTCCCGTCGTCTACTGGTCTTCCGTTACAGCCTGGCTCACCACTGCCTGCTCCTTCTCCTTACACTGAGCAGACAGGTAGTCCTGCTGAGCGTCGTGAGCCTGCGTCGCGTCCTGTGTCTAACCCTAATGGGGTTGTACCCTATATTGTCTACCCCACTACAGCCTACCAACACATTATAATTTAGCACAAGAAACTGAGAGAAACGGTGCACAAATGAGAGATGGGTACCCCCTGTATGAACCCGGAGAGGAGGGTATCGTGGCACGAACATGATGCGCTGGCAGGTCATTCCACCGCCTTCTCGATGGTTCGGGTGAAATGAAGTTGCCTGCCACCGCATGATAGCCTGATTGGGCCGCATGGCAACTTTCACGTCAGCGCTGGCAGATTCTGTCAGAATGAAGAATGGATGGTGCATTGATGTTGGTTGGGGTACAAATAGCTAACCCTAAGTTTTGTACCCCCTAAGACAAACCTCACTATAGGCTACAACATTTGACACACCCCCATAGCCTAAGTGAGGGGTGTCTAGCAGAACCAAACGAGTACGGTCACAAGACCAGTCCAAGAAACAAGGCTCAGGGTGGATCACAACGTCACCACACAGTCTGAGCACAAACAACAGTGGCCACAAGGCCAGTCCAAGAAGTAACAGAGGTATATAGAAAGCAAAGTAAACAGTACACTCAAGTCTAAGCAACACGAGAACCAGTGTCAACAAGGCCTAACTGCACACAGCACCTCTGGTGGTCACAAGGCGGAAGCGCCTTGGTGAAGATGTCTGCAGTGTTGGCCTCGGACTCCACAAACTCAAAGCGAGCCTGTCCACGCCTCTGCAACTCTCGCAGAAGAAAGTACCTGACGTGAATGTGCTTCACTCTGCTCTCCAGTCGTGGCTCTCGACAAAGGAGAATAGACGCCTTGTTGTCAGTGAACAAGGTCGGTGCAGAGCTCGGCCGCTCACCAAGGTCGGTGAGCAAGAAGGTCAACCAACGCAGCTCCTGTGCCGCCATGGCACCAGCGTAGATCTCAGCCTCAGCTGTAGAGGTCGAGACCGAAGAGGAGCGCGTGGACCGCCAGGAAACAGCTCCAGAACCCAGGCTGAAACAGTACCCCTGAGTAGACCTGTGAGTCTCAGCGTCGTCAGCGTAAGAGGAGTCACAGTGACCAGTAAGTACGACAGACTGCTGCCCTCCAAGAACTAGCCCCACGCCTGACGTCGTCGCTAGGTACTTCGCCACCCTCACAGCTGCTGTCCAGTGAACAGGACGGTGTCTCCCTGGCGCAACAAAGCGCGCAAGAACGCTGAGAGGGAAGGCGAGGTCCGGGCGAGTACAAGTCATCAGGTACATGAGGCAACCCACAAGCTCTGCGTAGGGACCACTAGGCTCGAACGGCTCGTCAGGAAAGGGTCCAGTGAGTCTGTGGTCAACAGCAAGAGGTGTGCGCTGTACTGTGGAGTGCTGAAGCCCGAACCGCTGAAGGACCTGCTGCACCATGTGCGACTGTGAAAGTGTAATGGTGCGAGCAGCTCTGTCCCTGGTGATCTGCAGGCCAAGGTAGTGGCGCAGCTCACCAAGATCAGTGCAGGTGTGTCTCTTCTGCAGTTCGGACTTCACGTGTGCCAAAGCAACCCTGTCAGGGGTGGCGAAAACAAGGTCGTCAACGTAGACCAGAACAAAGAAAGGTGTGGTGCCACGACGAACGAACAGCGACGGGTCAGCAGAAGACGGCTGGAACCCAAGGTCAGACAGGGTAGAACGCAGGGTGTCGTGCCACTCACGAGGAGCCTGACGAAGACCGTAAACCGGTCGCCTCAGCCTCCACTGGGTCCCAGGAGGGAAAGAGCCAGTGAAGGCAGAGGGACGACGCAACCAGACCTCCTCGTGAAGACTGCCCTGAAGGAAAGCAGTAGAGAAGTCGAGAGAGTGTAACTCGTAGTCTCTCTGTGCTGCTACGTGTAGTAACACCCGAAGAGTGGTCATCTTCGGGGTGGGCGCGAAGGTCTGAAAGAAGTCAACTCCCTCGCGCTGACTGAAACCTCTAGCCACGTAGCGCGCCTTGAAGACCGGAGGAGATCCCGGTGGCCGCTTCACCCTGTAGATCCACATGCCGTCGACTACGTTCGCCCCCGGAGGGGGAACCTCATCGACGTAGGTGCCTGTGGATCTGTAGGAGGCCATCTCTGCGTCCATGGCAGCTCTCCACTGAGAGGCCCAAGGCCCTGACACTGCCTCAGCGTAAGTGCGAGGAGTCGGAATGTCAAGGGCGTCGGGGTCACCCTCAGGGGCGAGGAGCATGGCACAGAGATGAGGGGAAGCGGCCGCCAGGAACTCTAGCTCAAACTGCCTGTCCTCTAGGGCGTCACAGCCAAGGGCAGACACACCCCCGACGGCCAGAGGACTGGAAGGAGGAGCAGCCACAAGAGCGGTGGCGAAGTCAAGGCGGCGGGTAGAGGCAAACTCAGTGACTGCGGCAGTAAGAGCGGACACAGAGGACACAGAGGCACGAGGGTGAGTAACAAGTGAGGCGAGAACACGAGAGAGAAGAGGACGGTACGTGCGGTAG